TATATATATATATATATATATATATATATATATATATATATATATATATATATATATATATCACTGGTTCACTATATTACATCAATATTCATATCATATCGAATGTTGTTGCGTTGTTTCAATATCTATCAGTAAATTATCCAATGAACACCAAGTAAAAGTTATATAATTATTATTTGATATTTGCTAGGTATGTTATAATATACTGTGAACACTATAAGGATAAATTACATAAACACAAATCGTAAGAATATCATTAGAGTTATTGGGAATTGCCGCGTGCCGCTCGATAGTCAGGTTAAACAACACTTTAACGGAGTCAAGACATAGATGGTGGCCGGGTGGTATATCACTTGGGATCGAAATTATCGAGGGAAGATTCACGAAAGTTAGGATTGTGTATTGACAATCTTCGATATCTAGTTTATGAGACATAAAAAATTAGGAATTATAAATATATTTTTTTAAATATTATTATTTTCTTATTTTTTACATTCGCACAATAATTCTCAGTATTTGATTACTATCAATATTTAATAATGATTTTACTATCAGTATTCACCAGAAATTAAGTATTAAGACGAAAAAATTACTGAATTACGGATAATACATAATCATTAATAATTTTTTAGTATTTATTAGTATAATATTCCTGTAAGGATGTTAGCTAAGATTTTACTTTGCATAATAAAACATATTAATAATATTACATATATATTGCATTGCAATGTTGTTGCATAGTTGCGTTGTTATATTGCCACAAGCGGACATTTTATCGTTGCTGCAACGTTGCAGTAGCATTGCAGCAACATTTTGCAATGTTGCTGCAATGTCACAATATTGCAAAACAATGATGCTACAATGTTGCTGTGTTGTATCGGATCTTACGCAAAAACAAAATTACAAAATAACAAACTTACGCAAAAACAAAATAACATAACTCGCATAAAAACAACATTCATATATACTAGAAGACGTGATCTAAATTTTTAGTGAAAGTTGGTAAAGTAAAAGTGGGAAAACAATAGGAGGAAGGGGAATTAGGGGGGATTAGATTCCCTGAGTTGTTTAGAGAGAAGACGTAGATTTCCGGAGTTTTCTGGAGGATATTTTCATGGTAATTTATGGAAACTTACTACGTGTTTGCCAGTGGGAAGCAACCCCCACGAATACGTAACTCTTCCATTGCACGTGCAATAACTTAACGAAATGCAGACTTCCGACTGCGCGTCCTAAATTCATACTACCCAAGAAAAAAGTATTTCATACTAACAAGAAGACGTCGAAATAATGTGATTTTTTCGGCTTGCAGACGTTATTGAAAACCTGAATGTAACCTCATTTTAACGTACTAATGTCGTCACTTTTGCTATGTTATACTGACGTCGATATATGAAGTAAAAATGATGTCATTTAAATGTTTTTAGGACGTTATTAGAACGTTTAATTGACGTTATTAGGACGTTATTACCT